CACAACTGATCTGCTGATCTGTAGTCTGCAGCACTCAGGGTGCTTTGTTTACTTAATGCAAAATCAATAAGTTTATTTCCAGGACAGTAATTCCAACATTCTCTTGAAACAGCTGCCCAATTTTAAAGTCAAGTTCAGATGCTCGCTGCAAAAGAATCTAATAACAACCCACAAAAGAAGAAACCGCCTATCAGACAAACATGTTGGAACAGCCTGCAGAAAGCTATAGACTTGTCAGACCAACAATTCACTGCACATCTGTGTCTGCCAACATGGAATTTACTCAAAATTGCCTCTCTAGACACTTCTTTACATAACACATATTTAGCTTATTAGTGCTGTCATTTGGGAGTGTGGTCAGCTTTTGAGCAAAATCTCACCGAGTCCATTAGCTGGGATCGCATCACAGCTGCCATTTTAGGATCACGATGATTAGGTTTGAAGTTCAAATGATTTGATTTCACTTTAAAGCTTCAAAAGCAGCCTCTGGGGTAGATTTACGCAATTAATTTTTACTGAGGTCTGCTGGGTAATTCACTGTAGTCAGAGGATCTTCACTAAGGTAAGGTAATTACCACTGGGTAATTTTACAGCACTCTGTTCAGTAAGAAGAAACATGTTGGCTGACCTGCTCAGATAAGACCTGGAAAAAAGTGAAGATGCTGCTTTTGGGAATCCAAATGTGCATGAGACATGGAGGAGGGATGAGAAGAATTCACTCGCTTCCCAGATGTGGACCAGAAGCTGTACATGCCCTCAAAATGTCTTTTCAGGGGGGTGCACGAGGACTTACAGTCTCCTAAGTATTGTACTGAGAAGCTTTCAAAATTGAAGTACAGTAGCCACGATTCTTTAAAACAGGAACAAAGAATGCAGCCTTTGTTTGGTTTGAACGCAGAAGTAAACAGTGAAATTAAACATCCCTTTGAGATTTGTATTTATCACTTACAAGAAACACTTCCTAATAATCAGTGGCAGCTAGGCAGACAAGCAGACTTCAGAGCAAAACCGGAGGGGATACAAGTCTATTTTAGGTTTACTATTGACAGTAAGGGTCAGAGGAAAAATAAACTCAGCAAGCAGTGTCATGCTACCACAAACCTCTGCTGGCCAAGCAGAAACTAAATTACAACCAAACATTTCAGCACGACAGAAACACTTGGGCAATTGGGCTGCCCTGCAGTGCACAGAGCACAACATACACAGGAACGGGATTAAGCAGAAGTGAGATGCAACACAAATTAGTAACAAAGAAATCAAAGGATTGGAGGAGCTAATTATCCCATGCTCTGGAGTGGGGTACATTATGCTTACCCCTATTATTTTAATATTTCAAGTCTGCAAAATTAATCTGGAAAGTCCTGTGAAAACAGGGACTGATCATACTCTCCTTCAAAATATCCTCCTTTTAGTCAAGTTATAAATAATATAGATAATATCAACTACTAGACTGAACTTTAAGAATAAAAAAAAAAGAGCAGCAGAAGGATTTAGATGCTATTTCTGTCACATACATTTTATTATATATTATAAGTATATAATAAAAGAAAATAAAAAATATTTTTATTGTAAAAGTTAATCCTCAGCTTCATTTCATGTACTGTAGTACTTCTGGGGAAAGCTGATTTGATTGCTGCATCACACTAATAAAAACTAAAATTTGTGTAAGGGAAGAAGAGGGAATAAAGCATACTCCATATCAATATTGCTTCTGATGGCTTTCATTTTGTTAAGTTTACTTCCCACTACAGCTGATGATAAAAGCAGCTGTGTGGACTCAAAGGTACCTCTATCTACATCTCTCCATGGACTAATTACAAATATCTGTTCCATATAGTCTCAGCATCTAAGACAGATTTAATTTTATTCTACCTTTCACTAGGCATAAATAAAAACCTGTCATTCCAACCACTATTTTGCTTTCCTTTTTCTCTATCTGTCATCCACTGGATGCAAACACAATGCTGTAATTCCCACTGTTCTGTTGTTTTCCTATTCTTTGTGGGTTTGCTTGTGTGTTTGTTTTGATGGAGCCACAAATGTTTTGTCCATTGTCAGGGGCCAGTTGCTTGAAACAAAGAACACTTCTCAAATTTCAAGCATAATGATACAGGACAGAAATGGCCAGACAAGTTCTTATTGCCTTTCTCTTTTAACTGGTGATGATACACTGCTAATTCATAGGGAGCATCTATGTAACACAAATAAAGTTTTTCAGATTTTAAGAAGGTGTTTAAAAATCAAGTGCAGTTCTAGTGGGTGATACCTCATCATTGCTCATCTGTTCTCTGCCAAAATGATGCTCACCTGTGCTGTTCTGCTTGGCCATTTTAAGGCACTTGATTATCATTCTCCCATAGTTCTCTGCTCATGTGATACATCTCTGGGGCACTCAGAACAAGTGCCCTACTTGTGGCAATGCCACACTACTTGGTTGTTATAGGCTCAACAAATTCTCCTGACTTTTCTCGTGAAGTCCCATAATTCATCTCTTTTGCCAGCACTACTTTGAACTGCTGCAAGGTGACACTGGGGATATATATTGGGTCAGGTTCACTGGGTGCTGTGAGCCTGCTTCTCGTTAACACAAATAGGATGCCTCTTGTATGTTTGAAGTCTTATGGATTGATGGAAGAAAGCACATTCCAGTGACTGCAGTAACACCCACAGTGATGGTGAGCAACACCAGGAGAATAAAACCAAAGGGCCCAGTTCCAGTGCAATGTACTCCATTCAGTGTATTTGGGATTGCTCTCGTAAATAAATTTTCTCCTCTTTTTCATTCAAGGCTCCCTGATGAACCACATCAGCAGTTCCCTGAATCTTCTTCTCTTTTTAAAAAGTTTCCTTTTGAAACTTGCCCAGCATTAAGACTTCTGAGTATGTTAACTGTGGAGATGTAGGTAGTAAGGAAAAGGATGATAATAAGCTGTTCTTACTCTCCTTGTCACCAAATAGAATACTTCTTTCTCCATAGCTTTAAGTGGTAGTTCCACCCTCTCTTCTAAACTCCAGCTTCTTTTGGCACGTTCCTTACTTCTCTTTCCATGTATGATGACTCTATATAAGTGCTGAAGAGTATTAAATTGCTTGGTGGAAAATTATTGGAGCAAGGAGGAATGATAGAGAACAATCGCTTATGCACTGTGGCTTTTGATAAGTCGTCAGTCTGAGTGGGCAATAACCTGCAGCACATGAGTAATTGTAAATTACTCAAATTGCAGTTGGGCCTTTTTTAGAGAACTTCAGTGAACCCAGAGAAGAGAGAAAAGGGTCTTATTCAAAACATGAAGCAACAGGCATAGAGGAAGATGCAACTCACAGCTATTTAGCAAGGTAGTGTCCTGCTACCAAGGGTGTAAACTGGAAGGAAACAATAAGTATTCAAGAAGCTTTATATATGGCTTCTTTGCCTTGTGATGCTCATGCAAAGCAGAACCCTGCCTTTACCTTCAATCACGTTACATTGCAGCCACCATGGCTAAGTTTAAACCTTGTGTAGCTTGTGTCCTATTTTCGTATCTACTTTTCCATTCAATTTGGTTCATCTCCTGTGGTGCCAACACCTTGAGCAGGGCACTGAAGGAAGAGCAAGAAATTTGGAAGTGAAGGCATGGGCAAGTTCAGTGGCTGATGGTTGTGCAATTTAGAATTCAAGGAAATAAAGCTGTTAAGGATCCACATCTCCAGCACAGATGCCTTTGAACACATTAAGGGAGGTGTTTAACAGCCATTTGGTGAAGAAAGGCTCTGACCTCCCTCAGCAAAATGATGGGTAGAATGTTTCAGAAAACATTTTTATCATGTATGCTAAAATTTTAGCACGTATGTTAATCCACATATTCTTCCTTTTCAGACTTTTGTGCAGATGGCATTTTTAGCAAAATTGTCAGCTTCCATGCATCAAGGGCTTTTGCCATCGCTGCATTTCACATGTGCTACAAGTCTTAAATGCTTATAGAAATATCCCTGTTTGGAGACAAGTTACATATGCCAGCAGTCCTTGACATGGTATCTTGGGAACTAGTTGCAGTTACTGAATGCTTGTCTGCTTTATGGACAACCCTGTCTGCTTTATAACAGGTTGATTACACCTACCCTAGAAACAGACTCATGACAGGTCTGCTCCCTTCCCCTGTTCTGACATTATTTTGCAGGTGTCTGGTTTTGCTAGCTGGCAGTGAGATGCACAGGTACTCTGCACAAATCCAAATAGCTGCACCCTGAAGAATGGTGGACATAATGCAAGTGCATAGGCAAATGTCAACTGATGGTGAAAAGGTGTTCTCTGGAGAGCCTCACAGTTTTTAAGTGAAAAGAAACACTGACTCAAAGGACAACATGACTTGAGAGTAGGGCACACAGATAAAAAGGTAGGTTCATTCAACTTTGAAACAATGCACTGTGGAAAACATCAGGTCAGAAATGCTATTTGAGAAAAAAAAAAAGCCAGCATATAAAGATACAAAACAACTGAAATTTGGATTATCTAGACTAATATCCTGTGCAGACCAAGTCTAAAAATAAATTCTAAATGGTTTTTCCTCCTGGACTTGTATTATTAACAACATTACAGAGTTTCATTGGCAGAATTCAACATTATTGAGGCAATCTGCTGCAAACTTTGCTTATCTATACCCTTGTTTCAAGTTTCTAGATACTTTCAAGGAAAACTGGGAACTAGGAAGTTCTTGATGTTTAATAACATTTTCACATCTCTTCAATGATAAACAAAACAGACAAATGCATTTTCTCTCAACTATTTCTCAAAGCAAACCAAGAACTTAGTCCCACTGGTAAAGCTTTCATTAAACTTTTTAGAGTAACTCCTGTAAAATTAAAATGAAACCCCCCAAACCAACCAAACTAATATAAAGCACAGAATGTGGCTAAAAGAAAGACGCTGTCTACCCGCACGATAGCAGAGAATTTTCCCCCGGTAGAAACTCTGAAGCAAAGCAGAACCACGAAAGCAAGCACTTATAACGTGTATTACTTACAGTGTATTTCTAGAACCTGCATTGCTATCTGAGGTGTCGAGTTTAGGGACTCGTGATCTACTCTGCAACTTACAACTGCCCCATCATCACTGCGATCCGCTAAGAAATCCAGCGTGCTGCTGACTGTGAACGTTTTGCGGTTTGCATCTTCCTCTTTTAGATACTGAACGTCTGAAAGAAAGAACAAACAAACGGTTTTCTCTCTAACATTTTTAGGAAAAGTAGTACCAGCATTAGACAGCTAAATTATCTATCAGAGTTGCGGGAAAAAAACCCCAACAAACATGTCTTTTTCTATCCATATCGATCTCTTTGATATAAAAGTAACGAGGCTGTAGTTATTCCTCATTTTCTGTCATTGTCGCATCAACAGATTGAAAGAGAAAGTTTTAAAATTGGTTCCATGATACTGCATTCAAATAGAAATTCCATTCACTTTTATCTCCTAAATGTTTAGGTCCAAATTTGATATAAATGTTCTCTGCAGGTCATCAGAAAAAAATGTGGTCTCCTCCTGCTGTCATTATCTTACATATTCACAGTGCCACTAAATATTAAGTTTCCTAAGTTCACGTTTCCAACCTTTCACAATAATGTAATATATGAATATTACTGAAGGCACGTGCATGTAGTCAGATTAATCCTGTGCTTACTTTATTCCTTGCTTATTCTGTTGTTTGGTTAGAATTATGCTAATTTATGAATAAAACTAAATCAAGGTATAGTCATCAGTGGGTATGAACAACTGTAAATAGAGCATGTCATACTATTTACTGGAATCTACAGACAAATCCCAAGAAGACAAAAAACAAAATTACTTCAGAGACCTCACACTGACTGTTTTATATCCAATTCTAAATTGACCTATTGCTTTTGTGCAGATTCAGTTAAAAATCTGACAGTTTTCAGCCCAGGGACTAGAGTGCAGGGAGTCTACATCTCTGCTTAAGAAGTATCAACTCAGCTCAAAGTTAAGGCTCAAATTCAGAACATTTCATTGTAGGACATACACGCTAGAACTGAAGATCCAAAAGACTGAGCATTTATGCTAAAATATTTTAATGTTTTAACTGCAACGTGAGATCTTCTCAAACATGTTTTAGAGTTGTTTTACTTGGTTTCCAGCTGCTTATAATACTTATTGATCTTAGCTTATTTCAGAAAAATGGTAAGCTTGTTATATTGATTTATTGCAATGAAAACTTGAAAAGACATACATATATAAATACTTAAACATATATATAAAATTACACTGAGATTGCATATATCCTCTGTGTCCTGAAAAAAAAAGTGAGAGTTTCTGTTTTACAAATTGTACTAAATCCCACTAGAGAAGAAGATGACCTGAATAAAATTTCCATGAAATATCAATTTTAGAAAGCAAATCTTCAATGGCTTAAGCTACACCATTCTAGATTAAAAATACCTCTGATATCAGAAAGGCAGTCTTTTTCATTGTCTCCAGACAGATGAAGACACCATGTAGTTATACAATTTCCATTTTTCCCTAAGAAATAATTATTTCTTGCATTTTTCTGCCTGTTTGTTGCTAAACTTAAAAAGATTTCAATTTCTGCCATGGACACTACTAATGTTTAGGGACCAGTAGATGAGGGAAACATTGACAGGGCTAAAGCAAAATTCTTATAATCAAACAGCAAAAGTCTTCACTAATATTTAAAGCAAACACATGAGCTTTTGTTCCCAGAGTTAGGATTCCAGATTTAATAAAAAGCACCTATAGAGATAGCCTTCTGCTTATAAGCAAGGTACACATCCCTTTGCTTGCTGGCTTCAGGTAGAGGACAGAAGGCCCCTGAAAACAACAGCAACTTTAATTTTAGTGAGAGGTTGTGAATTCTTAATCCTATAGAAAAACAAAAGCAGTTAATTTCCTAAATGGATGTTTGGAAGTCTTTCTCTAGGCATCTATGGTTTGGAAGAGTTCAACTCTTGGAGGTCACCACCTCCGTAAAAAGGGCAGTGATACTATTCTATAAACCGTTGACATCCTCATCAACAGAAATAATTAGCTTGTCCTCCTCATCAGCTGTATTTTCTCAGATGTCTCTTCATAGCAAAATGAAGGTGGGATTGTGGCGTGTGCTACCCCAATGTAAGCCCACCTGGATGTAAGAGCACTGAAAATCAGGTACTGGGTATGTTACCATTCAGAATATTTACCCAGGGTTTTCACCAGAATTATTAAATATGTCAGTTGTAGTCCATTGTTTTGCTTATTTTCTTGCTCTCTCCTAACACTCCCCTGAAAAAAGGTTAAAAAAAAAATAAAAATCCATTACAAGAGCACTTTCTCCAGAAAAATCCACAATGGAACAGGTTGGAGGATGGCTAAATACAGAGTAGCTTTTTGGAGGAGGAACTAAGGGTCTTGAGGACAAGTTGAACATTAGACAACAGTGTGCTTTTGCAGGGCTGAAAGCTAAAAAATAACTGTCTTGTATTAACAGAGCACAGCCAGAAAGTCAAGGGAAGTGATTTTTCTTCTCTATTTAGGACTTGTGTGACTGCATCCAGAGTACCAGGCGCAGCTTGGGGCCTTTTTTTGATACAAAAAACGTGTCAACAACCCTGATCAGGTTCAGCCAAAACCCATGGAGATGGTCAGTGGAGAGAGTACACAATGCACAAGGACAGCTTAAGATAGTTGAGATTGACTAGCCTGAGGAAGAGAGGACTAAAACCAGACCAAAAAAAGTACCTAATGCATGGTAAAAAGAAGAAAAGGAAAAGCCAGAGTCCTCTCAGAGAACTCTGAGGGGCAACAAACATAATTTACACTGAGGCGAATTCTGATTATGTATCATGAAATATCTACATACAGTGAAAATGCTCCACAAACAGGGCTTTAAAATGCTGAAATGTCTCGCCCAGACATGCTATGGGATCTCTGTCCTGGGAGATTTTTCAAAACTGAACAGGAGGAGGCCTTTAGCCACCTGAACCAACCCTTGAACAGAGGCTGGGCCATATGAAAAACCCAAGAGGCAATTATGGCCCTGCTTCTGTGACTCTGTCAGAGAGGTGCATATACATAGATATGCTTTTACTAACTAATACTGGTTTATATCTCATAAAATACTGGTTTATAGCTCACATGTTTGATAGTGAAAATAACAAATGGAAATGATGAAAGGTCTTTCATCATCCATTGTTCATTAAAAGCTATTTATAAGAGCACAAACCTGTAACATTCACATAGAAACGCTCGTCTTTTAAAAAGACAGTGTTTCTGCTTTTACATGGCAGATGTAATTTCTTTTTATATTTAAACTCAAGTTCTGACATGAGATGGTTCTTTTATCTAAAAAAATTTCATCTTTGATTTAGAGGTTCATCAAGACAAAATGTTCAGTGCCTCTCTGAATTCTTTGTGTATACTACAAATATATAAACTAATTCAAAATATCTTAATCTGTTGTAACAAAATAAACTACTTTATTTTTAAAGCCCAACTTTGCCGGGAAAAAAAAAATCTATTGAAAATATCCCTGAAACCTAAAAATAATTCTTTATATAGTATTGCTGAAACAGCACGTAACAAGTTCTGTTGACATAAAATAGGTAATTTCAAAATGAAAAATATGCATTTATCTTCTCCAGGATTTTTCCTTTTGATAATCTTTCAGAAATGTCACCAGAATGATGCAGTGCCCATCACTTTGTTAGGCTGGTGCAGGTGTGAGTGTCAGAATGCTAAAGTAAAAGGTGTGGCACCCAGTGCTTCACATTCAGTCTCTCTCATCACTAACACTTACTTTATCAAACAGTATTCCTTTACCAGATGATGATTCCTTTTTTGAGTAATAGCAGTGGAGCTACAATTTTAGAATGGCTTTTTCCCCCTTTGGTGCAACTCTGATCTCGATGCATCATTTATATTCGTTTGCAACATGTATAATACACTGTAACACAATTGGATTTACTGGTGCTAGACAGAAGAACTCCTAACCTTTAATGTCAGCTGCATTAGCATATAATTTCATATCTATTTTCTCAGATTTATCATTTCACCTTTTACACTGCACAAAGCTAATGTAACTTCTGCTGATGCCACTGCAGACCAGTTAGGTTATTTTATTTCTAACCTTTGTGAAATGGCAATGTGCTCTTCAGAAGACCTAGAAAACTAAACTGAAATGAATTTGCACAGTACTTTCCTCTGATTTCTGATTGTTTGGGGTTTTTTTTCCCTTTACTATTCTTTTTCATACATTTTTTTTGTTCCTTCCTCACTTTCCTTTTTTATAAAAAAAATTCTCTTTAGGAACTCTTGAGAAGAGCAAAATAATTAAAGAGTCAATTGCTTGCCCGCTTCAATTAGACGTCAGCTGAAAGAAAGGCAAGATTCTTACACCAGATGTTAAAATATAAATTTTAAAATAAAATCTTTTCAAATGTGTTGCCTTGTTAGGTCGACTGTATCAGTGTTTCTCTTAAAGTATTGACACTGCTTGGAGTGATTTCTAATCTCTACATGCCTTGAATATATATATTCATCCTGTCAACTTTTCTGGATGACAGAATCTATACTGTGCCATGTGTATTTGCTGTGCTGTTAAATTCTTCTTTTTAATTACATTTGATTAGGTGCTGCAATTCTTTCATCAAATTCCTCAAACTGACGAAAGAATTGTTCTCCATTTCCTCATTTTCTATCCTTGTTGCAAATGTTCAAACACATTTCCAGTTATCCCAGTCTAAAATTCTTGTTTCTTTCAACACTATTCTCATTTTCATTGGAAATACAATGACACTTCTCGAATAGACTGTATTCCTTATACAATCCATTGTAATCTCCTTTATTTACTAATTTTGTATCCCAGCTCTGGTTTTGCACATTGAACTGTGGTAGAGAACAGCGAAGGAAGATAAACAGATTCTGTAATTAATGCTGTAACTTTTCTTGAGGCAGTTTATTGAGCTAACAAAATCCAAAATATTAGACAAACATGAGACAAAAGAGATAATAGTGTTGGTTTGGGTTTTTTGTGGTGTTTGTTTGTTTGTTTTTGTTTTTTTTTTAAAGCTACACAGCAAAAGTGGATTTTGAATCATATATTTATCTGGTCTTATAGCAGAATGAATAGAGGTGACATGAATAAATGTCAATACCTTATCCTTTTTATTTATCTACTTTACAATGGGCACATCAATTGGCTTATAGATGTGACTAAGCCTTCTGCTGTAGGAAGCTCTCTTCACTCACTCATGTACCAATAAGGATTTAAAACTATCCCAGCATTGATAAGAATATGGGCTAGAAAACTAAGTTCTAAGCAAAGAAAGAACAAAGTGAAAGAGAAGATAGAAAAGAAATAAATAGATTTTATATGCAGCTCTTTCCTAGGTTGCTGCATCCTCAGAGGCAAATCCTTGCTGTCAGCTTTGGGTTTAGTTAACACTGACTTTTCAGCTACAGCAGACTTTATCCAACTCCCCCTAGTCCCTGTGAGGTTTTCCTGATCACCTTTAAAGTCCACCTTCTCCCTGCTACTCACCACAGACTGTCACCATCCTTGCCTCGGCTGTAGATTCCCAGTTTCCCAGATGAGATTCCCTCAATTGCTACATCCTGACTTTTCCTCACCAGAGCAGGCTCCATAGCTCCCCTAAGGAAAGTGAAATCTCCTCCAGATGGTCCTGCCTCATCTGGTCACTTTATTTCCAGGGGTGTAATAAATAAATAACATAAATCTGGCAACTGACTGCATCAGACATACATCAAATTAGAATGGCAAAGAGAAATGGAAAGGTAAAACATCAGGGGTGAGTGGTGTGACTGTGATAACAATAATCCACAAAACATTTTTCTATCAAGCCTCACAGTTGAGTTTATTATGCTGAACAGAGTTCTGAGCAATTCAAAACATCAGTTTTTACCGTTTGAAGAAACAATAAAAAGATGCTTATATGGCCATTTACAAGCAATTACCTTGTCTATGTACTATCATCTATTCATTTCATGACTCAACATGAGAAACTTTACAAACACAAATTAAAAACCATAATTCTAAAGAATGCATAGTTTTGGCAATTGGAGCAAATTACACCACAGTCCTTTTAAATACCTTTAACTTCTTTGTCGTTCTTGAACCATCTGATATCAGCTGCTGGTTTACTACCAGATGTCTTGCAAGTGAGCTGCATCCTCTCTCCCTCCATAACTGGTGAGGTAAATCCAGTAATTTGTGGCTTCTCAGGAACACCTAACAAGCAAACAAGCAAAATGTCTCTGATAGAGTCAGCTACTGCCATGAGTATGTGACCAACTAAAAGTTCACTTCTTCATATGCTCTAAATTCTGGAAACAGGATAATTAATTCCTCATGCCTTTTCAGTGAAGCCTTTTTCCTATTGTAAATAAACTATCAGTCTGAACAGTAGTTGGTTCTAAATAAAGAAAGAAAACAGAAATTAACCTGGTTTTCCAAGAGAAACAGATTGCATTTTAATAAATCTCTTATCTATGTATATTCTGCATGCAGGTCTAGTCTGACTTGTTGTAGTGTTTAAACCGCTCTGCACAGCAAGCAGGATGACAAAGCACGTTAGAAGCACAGCTGTGAGAATGAAACACAACTGGCAACAAAAAGCTGAGCTGACCTAAGTTCAGAACAGATGTTCAAACCTGAATAACGAAGACTTTAATACAAAATCCAGGGAAAAGGGAGGATGAAAATAAACACAGGAGTCACTTTATCTTCAGAGAACACAAACCCAGAACATCGAGAGGAATAATCAGAGCTCCACTGGTCACAGAAAGCTCTTCAGCTGAATCCAAGTCCTTTGGAAGAGGTCACCTGATTTTGATACACCATACACAAAATACTAAATTTGGAAACAGTGTTTTTTCAATGAACCATGAATGATTTAAATAAAAAATACGAAGATAATAGGGAAAGATTTGATCACTACCTGTATAAATCCAGTTAACTTATGAAAACACAAGAAAAAGTTATTTCAAAATAATACTGGTGACTGTAATTTTAAAATCCCAAAAAATGTTGGCTATAACTTGCATCTACAGTGCTATGAGGCATTCATATTTGTGGTTAGATAAAGGGATCAGTCACAGTAAGTGGTCCTATGCCTTGTATCTCATAATTTGGGTTTTTTTACATCTCTTTATCAAAATGACAGATTATATATATAAAAAAAAGCAGCAGTACCTATAACATAGTACATTTCTGTAATAAATCTATCCCTCTCTTTCAGGACAGGAAATGGTGTCTGCTATAATACCTTGGCACTTAAATTTTCTAATCAATAACAGAGCAGTCAATAAAGGCATTATTAGCATATAACAGGATAGTTTATCTGATTAAAAGATGTAATATATTTCAGTGGGAATGTTCCCCTTCTACAACAGAAAAATGTTCAAGGAGTTTAAAATGTTATTTTGGAAATTACAAATACAAAATGAAAAAGACAGGAATCTTAAACGCTGCAGCTTTCTTTCTTGGAAGGTAAGTAGCTGATCTTGGTAAAACTCCATGAAACCGTCCCCTAAAATGAAGACAAAACTTACAGGAGTGTGAAAGATCAAGTTACTTCTGTTAATAAATACTGGCTAGATGGGCTTTTTTTGTCTTTGTAACACCTTTCTACATCTTTCTGCCATTTAACATGTTGAACTGGTGTATTCATCAATTGTTTAGATCATGAACTGCCTTTCTACAGAAAGGAAGATTAAGCACAGGCAGTTGCTATTCCAGAATATTCTGCTTTCAGTGGGTACTTTTTGTCCTTAATGGCAAACTTGTGAAGATTCTTGTAAAATAGTCTCATAGGGACTGAAAGGGAGACGTATTTCATATCCTAAGCACAAAACCAATTCCCTGGCTGGATTAATGTGAGTATTACTGGCACAGAGAATACCTTACATTAGGCCTATTAAATTCAACTGTCTGCCTATCTACGTATAAAAATAAAACAAAAAGAAAGAGTCATGTTCAGGGACAGAAAAAAAAAGGAGAAAGGAATAAAAATCAATCTCTAAAATCATATAACCTCTTAGGTACGCAGGTGTGTTTCAATGAACTACAGCAATTTTGGCTGATTGGGTTACTGACATTCAGAGAATCATATAAAGCTTCGAGCAGAAACTTTATTTCCTGGGCATCTCTTGAAATCTATTGCTTTTCTCTGTGTATCTATAACCTTTGGGGAAAACAGCAGAGCACTTAGAGGATAAAGCACAAAAGAAGCAGCAAACCCAGTGAAAATTTGCACTTTATAGACCAAAAAAAAAAAAAAGACAGCAGAATGAGCCAAGAAAATGCACAGCTAAGGAAAAATGATAAAGCTCTAAAGCCTGTTTTGATTTCATGCTTTCTGACTTTCTCCTCTTTGCCCTATACAATATGCTGTTAGGAGATGAACACATGCACCTTCCTTGCACTTCTGGTGCTCGGGATGAGGAGGTTATGTCCATTTTATGGGGCACTCACACCTCAGTGTTTGTCTGCTCCCTAATTCATTATCCTGCCACAGCGCAAACAGTAAGAGCCGTGTTATTTTTCAGCCCGGCAATACAGAACAATAAACATCAGGGAAACCAGATCAGACGTTTACATTTATCTTCTGCCAAGCTTTAGAAAAGACCATTCCTATCATAATTTGCCAAAAGCCCGAGGAGTTTAAACGCTCGCTTCTTTATACTCACCGAGAACGGTAAGAAAAGCCTTGGAAGTTTTGACAGGCATGGTGAACAAAGAGCAGGTGTACTGCCCTTCATCTGACAGGGACACGTCGCTGACACTGATACTCAGCTCGTGCCACGAAGCTCGGACCAGCTCAATTCTGTTGTCCCTCAGAGCTGAAAAACAAAAATCCACATTAAGGTAGGACACAGAACGACAACAAAGCACTGCATGTTTTATCCAAGGGGCCCGATGAAGTATCCCAGTGAAATCTAGCCCCAGGACATGGGGATATGGACACAGTTGTCTATGCACAGTAGTTTGTTTTCTCTCTGGAATAAAGTATGAGAGTTTAGCAAGTTTTGGGGTGGTGTACTGAGTGGCTTGTAACATATATAAACCAAGAAATTAAGTGACTTGAGTTACCTTTGACCTTCCTCTAAAAAACCCAACACTGACTTGTGATTTCTGTCCCCTCACAGCTCTGTTCAGTGCCTAAAATAAATCCTTCCTATTAACTCAGCTTCTTTTTCATGTATTTACAAATGTTGAGAATCCTGTGTCTAACATTGCACAGTTTGCCTACAGATTTTTCTCATGCCAAATGCTACTCATATTGAACTGGAATATCAGATTTCCTGAATTCTGTAACAGGGTATTTCTTATTATAAATAGATTGAAAATTTCACTTCTACATGCATATATATAGTACATTTAACGATTTGAGGTAATTGAGTATAAGTGGCCTTACTTTTTGGATTATGACTAAAATTATGATGTTGTATCATAAAATCCTTTCTATAAAATTTTATTGGCATGGAACCAATGAGGGAAAAGGAACATGTAGATTCACTCACGTTCAAAATGTCGTTTTAGTTAACACTTTAAAATCTAAAACATTTTAAAACCTATATTTATATTAATCCCCAAATTCTATGGAAAACCAGCCAAAACACTCCCAAACATTCTACTTCTCTATAAAGTTGTTTCAGGAATCTGCATATATTAATCAAGACTTTCCACAGCATAGAAATACTAACATCATAAGTAAGTAAACACTGTTATTCTCCTAAGCAAACAACAAAAATGCCTCTGTAACTCAGAGAATTTAGCTGTGCACCTCTAGATTCAAATCTCTGACCTGACAGTGTTTGAAACTTCAGTTACTTTTTGTAGTAAACTTCTGAAAATCAAGAGTAAATTGGGACTATGGTATTTGTCAGGAGAGTTATGCTTGCATTTATGAGAAGAACCAAGAAGTTCAAGTCCCCTCATGCTGTTCTCACTCACCTCTTTCTAAAGTCCCCAAAGAGTCTTAGTTTTGTCTAACATATATGTCTTCCAATGATAAAAAACAACAACGAAAAAGTTTTGCTGCAGTTCTTTTGCTACTAAATCTAGACATTTCTGCCCCATTGCTGTTGAAGTCAATCCAGGAAGATTTACACCAAAATAAGCAGCTACAGTGAAGATTCAGCAAAAATGTCACTTGAATTTGTTTTCTTCTAAGGCTCCCATTCAGGTTTGTTTGTTGTTGTTTGTTTTTTTTTCCACCATGAATTTTCAGCTGAGTTTACTGATTATTTCAGGGTAGGCCAGGCAAAGCTCTACTCCCCCTCTGCAGGGTCTGATGACTGAAAGGTGACAGCTTAAGCAGCCCTAACACACAGTCATGCCATGAACTACTTCAAGGCACATCAAAGTGACTGAGATTGTGGAATGGACATATTCCAAGCAGGACTGAGACACTGGCTGGCTGGCCACAACAGAAAAAAAGTAGTTATGTAGTCTAAAATATAAAAAATGCATACAATGGTGGAAATAGAAGCAACGTTAAAGCAAACAAGAGAACAAAACAGGCCACAAAATGAAAAGCCATGTGTACACCAATATGCTGACATAACAACCAAGAAAAATAAGCTCAGGAAAACAAAAAGTACATAAAGCAAGCATCTACCAACCCCAAGTAGCAGGTAAAGCTGATGACTGGGGCTTTACCAGCCAAAACTCCTCACAACAGTGAAGCTGTTGCTATCTTTGAGGAAGTAGATGGGGACTCAGAATTCCTTTCTCAGCTTTTCAATGCTAGTCACATGCAAACTGAGCAGACTTAAGAATGGTAGTTTATTTCACATTATTTTCGAAATGACTCGGTGCTTCCAAATGGTTTGGTTACCACCACATGAATTTATAAAATTTGGCAACAGCATAGAAAATAGGAAAAAAACCCACAACGAAATAACAACAAAAATAAACCAACCAACCAACCAACCAAAAACAAATCCCCAAAACAACAAAAAGCCTCTCAGCACTACATAATTTGAAAGTGGTTATTTTTGCTTCCCCTTAATCAGAAACTATCTAAAAATAACGCACTATATCATATTACATATTATTTTACTTTGTTATAATTTTTAATTGTTACAGCCTTGTGACAAAGATGATAATCTTTGTTGAAATATTTGTTGAAATACTTTCCTACAGATGGGGCAGAATTTCATGCACTAAGAACAGTAATGAGGTGCACTAGAGCACAACTGGCCTACAGATGATGCCAATAGCACACCATTTCAATCCTACAATTGAAATACAAACCATTTCCATCAACTACATTCCTACTGCTCCCCTCCCTCACTTCCTCCCCTCCATACCTTTTTTAACCTTTGTACAATATAAAAACCTCAGCTGAGTCAATTTTCTGTAAAACTGGTAAAAACAGCCACTGGTCAAGAGATGAGACCAGATGTTCCATGTTTCAGCCTGGAGTAAATTTTTGTTGAAAGAACAGAAGGGTTGTTTTGTAATGGAAATACCAACACAGAGCCTTCGCAATAAATGCTGCAAATAGCACCAACATAACACTCCTTTGCAGCAAAGCTGTTTGTCAGAAGCATTTTTGTAAGTGCTAAGTCTAAACACAATTAACTATCTGTGCCATCACTTTCAAACCTACACATCTGTAAGTTTTCCTATCTACGCAGATGTGAGAGCAAACCAAATTTTACTGCTATTGCTTAGACAAGGCCAGCACTTAGAGACTTTTTAGAATCTTATTTTCAAGTTGTGTTTCTCTATCTGTTTGTATCTGTTTAGAAAGACCCCAGTTTCGCTTCACTAAAGTGATAGCTGTGATGGATGCCAGAACTGGTTTGTTTCCATTTTCTGTGTTAGATGTATTTTGCTAGAAGGGTAAAGTTGGATGAAAGAAAGAGTGGCTGCCTGTCTAGTCCTGGCTCCTGCACCCTGGGGCAGAGAGAGCCCTCTGGGAGAGGATGACTGGCTCCCTTAGACAGCAAAGGAAACATCAGCATCGTTGGAGAAGCCAGGATTTCTGGCCAGCTCCTGACATCCAGGCATCGTGACTGAGTGGAGCAGGGTCTTGAGCACCACAGAGGGTAAAGTCTTGCCAAGTCTGGCTGATGAAGCAAAGAAGCCCAGGGTGCCCAGACAGAAGCCAGCTACTCAAAGGTACCAACTGGAAAGCAAAAGTTTTAAGGAGAAGACACACTCTGCAAGGAGCTACTGAATGAGAAGGGCATTTATTTACAATGATCTATTCAAACTCTTTCAGCATATCTTAGTTCTACTTGTTTAATGACCTATCTCATCCAGGTAATTTTTCTCTTTTTAAAGGACATGAGTTTCCAAAGCTTTCTGTAAGCTTTTTAATTGCTCTTATTTGAATGGAGATTTACCCCAAAAGAGGGCAATTTCACTACCAAGTTTAAGCCAACTTGAGGCTCCACCACAGTAGTTCAAATAAAGTTCCGTACAGTAAAATACAAAATGTTCTCTTTTATTTAATTAGCAGATGAAAACAAAAAGTAGAACACGTATGGGGACATTGTGCATGAATTTGGAGTTTGGTACACACTAGTAAACAGACTAGATTTCCTATATACTGAAATGTCTATTCGTTGTTCAGCACTTCAAAATTTGAAAGGGAGTGATTTTTGCTTTGCCTTAATCAGAAATTATGAACAAATAATGCAGTACCTCTTCTTGCATGGTATTTTACTCTTTGAATGGTTACTGCAAGCGACAAATGTCGGTATTTCTAGTTCACCACAAACTATTTATTAGTTGTATTATGGCAGCAACTAGACAGCACAGGTGCTGGGCACAGAAAATAAAGCTTTAGCCTTAGAGACTCTACAAGCTCTGCCCTCACTTGACTTGCATGGTTTCCAACCCCCTCTCCTACCTCTGCCTGCTCTTTCAGGACTTTCTTTGGAAACTGTTTCTTTTTTCCATTTCGCTTTGTTAGAAGCCAAACAGACCTTTCTGGCTTCTTCCTGGGGATTTTAACCTACATTCCTGAATCATTACCCTATCCATAGTTTGTATCCCTATATTTTGCATGATACAGAGATGCTAGAGAAAGGGTAAATAAACAGAATATGTATTTGACTCCTGGGAAATACACATGTGCCAAAACAGTAACAAAGAATACCAGCACTGACATCTCTTTTCTGTATTCTTATGTTGCAAGCCCTTTAAAAAATACAAAATGCAACAAGAAATATAATTACATAGTAAATTCCAATATGCCCTAAGTACATTATTTCAGTTTTCTGTAATTCCCAGGCACATATAATGTAGTTAATTTGCAAGGCATGAAATAATTATGCATAAAACACTTGTTCCTAAGCAGACACACTTCATTTATTTTACCTGTCATTCTCTTCTCCTGTGGAAAAGACTTTCTTTCAGAATGTTTTCTGACACAGAAAAAAGCAACCTTGATAATTTGCATAGTTTAGGTAATTATGAGTAAAAGATAGCCATGTATTTCAGCTGTATTAATTAGGAATTGTTGAGACTGACAACCACTGCAATAAACTGGTCTCCTTTTCACAATCACAAAAAGCTGTACTTTACTTTTTGCAAAAAAAAAAAAAAAAAGATCCTGTGCTGTCATATGGAAATCTTGCAAGAGGAATTATATTGAAGAGAGAAAAGAAACTTAAAAATTTGCAGAAATGAAAAAATCATCCACATTTCACACTGTGGGGAAAAGGCAGTTGGACCTGTCAGACATAGCCACACAGCAACATGTCTAATGTTACTTCATCTAAAATGACCACATCTTCCTAGTATTTTGAGTCATTTATTTGAAGAATGGGGAAAAAAAAAAAAAAACAAGCAACAAAATCCCGAAATCCTCCAGAGTACT